AAAGGGAATATTATATCATGCACAGATTCTTCATCCACTTTCTTATTCCACCCGACCCTCTCCCTCTCCCAGCAGAGAGACTTGTTTCAGTGAAAGCAGAGCATGTGCCACAGGGTAGGGGAGCTGATCCTGACATAATTTGCTTCTTTAAATAACTGTGGGAATAGACGCCCCGAGCTAAACATATATTAACATAAACAGCCAGTTCCAAGTCACATGGCATAACAGAACCAGACCGCAGTGATGTCTCAGGTATAGGTTGAAGTTGAACAGAGCTTCCATGTCTTTGTGTGCGTTTGAGTGTTTATCTGTTCTGGGTATGTGGGGAGTTCAGATGTTTGTCATCATCTGAGCGAGGTCACAATGTGGTTTATGTAAGAGCCAAATATCCAGAAAACAAGCACAGCAATCACAACGGAAGAAGAAGAAAAAAAAAAGCCATGGGCATTTTGCTCCCATATCTTTCACGTCGCAGAAACACACGCACATACACAACAAAATCAAACACAGTGATGGATGTCAGAGATGAAATATAGTTGTTATGTAACGTGACTTGGAGTTTTGGTTCTTACTTTGTGGCTGTAAGGAGCAGAATAGCTGCGCCTCAGTGTGAAAGCTGTTTTGTTTTCTTGTTGTTGTTTTTCTTAACTGCTCATTTTAAACAGGCATCATGAAAAAAAAAAAACCCCTGTGGGTCCTCACATGGCGGAAATTCATTTACTTAAAGGGGATTAGAATTTCCATCAATTGTCCGTCATGCAGATAGGTCGGCGGATTTATGATTTGCACGTCTGTTAAACCTCTCCACATGAAGGAGGAAAAGTAGTTCTGCTGGACAAAATAACAGAAACTCCTTCCAGTAAAATGACTCTAGTTGAAACAACGCCTCTGTGAAACCATCTCAACACAAACTGAATAATAAAAGGCTTCACAAAGGTTTTTTTGTGTTTGCTTTTTTTTTTTTTTTGCATTGGAATGTGCAAGTGCTTCTTTTTATCTGTAGAAATCCTACACTATACTGATCACACTTTGCTGATGCCAAATCCAACACTGTTTGCCTTATAGTCTGTCAGACTGCTGCTACGTTTGGCAGGGCAGAAAAACAGGGAAGCCTATCTGCTGACTAACACATTACAACACACACATTAATCATGTGCAGTCCTATGGCAAGGACGTCGTAGTGGATGACAAATGTCGAGGAGCGCTACCTCCTCCTCACTGTCCCGCACACAGCGGGGCCCGACTGATGTAAGCGCAGCTAAAATTATCAGCTCGCCTGATCTGAGCCAAGCTGGGCAGGAATGTGTCACAGGAACCGCCTGCATCAACATATTAACACACGGCTCGCACTTCAGCGCACACAGACACACAGGTGCACGCAGCTCTAGTGGCACATCATTATCACAAAAGCATGACGACGGAACAAAAAAAAAAAAAAAAAAAAAAAAGGAGCAGACAGACAACAAGCACATCAGGATTTTCTCCAAACACAGATACTGACAGAATTCAGTTAGAGGGCTGACAGGGTGTGTTTTTGATTTTTAATTACACAAGTTTGATTGAAGCTGATTACAAGTGGATTTATGGTTTTAATTAGACCTCGAAATAGCGCAATCATTAATCCACAGTGAATGGCTACATCGCAAGTTTTCTGTTCATCTAAGCTCATCTGACCATGTATTTCTAAATACGCTGCTTTCGTATGCTTTCATAACACTGACCCAAATTTTGCCAACTTAACCAATACTACTCACTATTTGTTTTTACCAACACAGAGTCACCAAAGCTTTTTTTTCTCTGGTTTCTATATTTACCCTATAGGAGAGGATGGTATACAGCAAGGAGAATTTACAGTTATTATTATTTTTCAATACAGAAACATTCAGTGCAAATTCAAACATCTAAATGTTTGGTAAGCATACTGTACAGGGCCTATATCTGTCAGTCCTTCAAGAAGTAATGAACCAACTCAGGACTGGTGACCACAGGAACATGAGTACTTCATTGTTTTAACACATCAACGAGTGTAACTAGTCTATCCTTCAGTTGTATTCATGTAACAGTGCCATATAATGCAGATTGATTTGCTGAATATCTTCTTCTTTTGACCCTCTGATCAGAACTTATAATGAACTGAAGCATCACTACACAACTCTCTGTATTAATATAAAGGTTAGAATTGCAAGCCTACATTGAAAGCAAGCAGCCATCTTCTGTAATCAAGGATTACGTGACAAGCACAGTGGAAAAAGACAAGTTAAAATAAAAGTGCAAAACATGCCATATATTGAAGAATAAACGAATAAATGTGAAATGATCTTGTATTGTAGGCTATAAGAAATCTGCATTTACCCCTTTCCCGGTGCACTGTATTGAGATGTTTAGTTAGATGTGAAACCTCTCTCATATGACAGTAAAATGTTCAAATGAATTCAGAAATGGACCAAACTGACTAAAACTGCTGTGTTTTACAGCAGTTTCATATCCTGTTATAAATATAATGCTCAGGAAATGGCATAATATGGTCAGTGCTATTACTGAGACCCCCTGAGGGATCTGTCTAAATATATCCAACATGACATGACTGCATCTCTCAGCTCAGTCACTAAGCTTTCACCACATGGCTCCCACCCCCCCAACAATGCAAAGTAAATACGGTTGAATATGCTTTGGAAAAAATATATGTCCTTTAACCACAGCACAAATATGCGCTCACTTTTATTCCACACATTAATGCTGTATGTGTGTGCACATCTGAGCATGTACAGTCACTTATTTTCAATCCAAACAAGGGACAGATAATAACCGTGCCCGTGGAATCTGTTATCCAGCCAATTTTCAACTAAAACATCATATTTTTTGTCCAAAAAAGAAAAAAAAATAGTTTGGGCTTAGAATACACATCAAAGTGAACATGAAAAACGTAAAACATAAACTGCATATTATTCTAAAACCTTTGGCGTAAAATCTAATGCACATAGAAACTGACACTAGAGCATATAACCCAGTAATCGTTAATATCACTTCCACATGACTGTTATCCATCAGAAAAAGTGTTAGCTGAGCTCCAGCATGCCTGTTGGAGAAGCTGGAGTTGGATGCTTAAAAAAAAAAAAAAATCAATAAAAACTGAACTAAAATAAAAAAGGTCATTTAAGCTGAATTAGCCATCACAGCTTTTACAGCAGAGGGTAATAACAATTAGCCTGACCAGATTCTTACAGAAGTCCCAGCTAAAGCTGTCACATCTCTCAGGGGAAGCCCTCTAGCTCTGAGAGTTTAATCAAAAATGTTCTCTTCTTCTTAAAACTTTGAATTAATGAGTTTGAGCTGTACTTGTTTGCTTCTGTGCCAAAGGACCCTCTCCTCTCCTACCCCCCCCCGCCTCTCTCTGATGTGTGCATATAAAAGCTGCATCGAAAGCATTTACATAAAGTTAGACTTGCACAAACATTTTCTTGACCTTGCAGAGTGGAAGAAAAAAGAAGTCTGTTGCTGTTACCCATGGCAACACAATCACCTTAGAGCATCACACCTTTAACACGCACACACAAACACACACACACACACACACACACACACACGTACAGGCTACAACAGTCACAACTTACAGGGATATCAGCTGCTGTCACGTCACTGGTCGTGGTGCTTTTAACTACTCTAGTGTATTAATAGAATACAGAAATGGCTCCACGTCTTTCCTTGTACAGATCGCTGCACTGATTCAGCATCAGCATCAAAACCCTCCACATTAGCAAGTCAGAGGGGTGCATATGACAGTTATGACGCCAATGAGGCAGAAAATGCAGCAGTTACAGTAGTGGCCACCGCTCAGTTAATCATTCAGTGTTTTTTCACCGTTAAGTTTACATCCCTCCTCGCCTGACTCTCGCCCCCTCCCGTGCAGCTCCGGTGACATTCCTCCCATGCCAGCTGGACATTCCAGTCTCCACTTCCCCCCACAGCGACCAGAGGTGCCCCTGGATCACTATTTCAACCTTTTAGAAAATGTCCTCGTACAACATCCCGGCTTTTCTGCTCTTACATGTACGAGAGTGCAAACCTCTGTCGTAGCCCTCCACTGAGCCTCAACTGTGTCATGTTGGAGTTCTGTTCAAAGAATCATGCTTAAGGTCAAAGTAATGTTGTGCTCCCAGCATCATCAACTGTATCTTAATAGAGTTTAGATTGAGACCAAAGTGAGGAACTGAAATCCATTTCGGACACTTAGCAGAGGCAAACAATCTTGTTTTAAGCTTTTAAGAGTTTTGTAGAGTTTGTTAAATCCATGTAATGCATGTAATCTGAAATTGTAAAAAATAGACCAAACATGGTGACATAGGGTTGTCACCTGACTGTAGTGGTGAGACATAGCACCATTTATAATAAAAATTACAGTGAACAATATCAAATTGATGCATGCTGAATGAAATAAAAATTTTTTTTATCTATTCAAAAAAAAAAAAACAATGATTTTTGTTGCATGTTTAAATTTCTTCAATAAAAAAGGTCTTATCTGAGTTATTACATCATCCATGCAAACAATATTCATTGTCAAGCCACACATTCATATTCCCAGCATCTCCCAGTCTGTGTTCACACCAGAATATCACCAAACCACCTATCCAGCACAGAAAGCTCCATTCATCTATAATCAGAGTCAGGCCAGCTTCACAAAAAGGGGTCTCACATACACACGGGAAATATTTATCAGGTTATGCTGCACAGCACAAACCCATCACAGGCCAGCAAATGGCCTGCAGCATTATTCTGCATACAGCCAACATAGGGTGTCAGCATCCGCCAGCTGGAGGGAGGTGAGGGAGACGTAAGAGAAGGGAAAGGCGCGCACCATCCAACCAAGGGGAGGAAGGTGTGGGATGGAAATAGTGGAGGATGAAGGAATGAGCGCCGGCACATAGTAAAAGGGGGGTGTCGGGTGTGGGGTGGGATGAAAGAGCGGGGATGAGAGCAGGCGTCGTAGAGAAAGATTTACTTACAGCAGGTTCGTGACAGATGAAAGAGGAGGTGCGAGGAAGTTTCAGCACGTTCTCCTCCAGTGGAAGCGATATCCGTCCACAAAACCCGACATCGCCACAGCAAAAAGCACCTCATGCAGGGAGTCAAGGGAGGCAGGCAGGAACAGGGCGTGTGTGTATGTATGTGTGTGTATGTGTGTGATCGGGATCTGGCTTTAACGCATGTATGTGTGTGCTAGCAGGAGGGAAAGTGACTGAGGGAGACAGAGAGAGAGAGAGAGAGAGAGAGAGAGCGACTCTTGTGTGGCAAGAGATACAGAGATTGTACAAGCTGACTGGCTGGTGTGAAAATGGGAGGGGGCTGGATTGTCCAATAGCGTGGGAGATGAGCAGAGTGAAGGGGATATGGCAACAAAGAGACAAGAGAATTTTTCAATTCCTGCCCTCACTCTCCCTCACCTATCTCATCTCTCCCTCCTTCGCTGCGTTTGTAAGGAGAATGAGAAAAGCTCAAACTGCTGAAACAGAAAATTGGTGATGCTTCACATGAAAGAAGTGATGAACAGAAAAGCCAACCAGGTCTATCACTCTTTTCATCCTCCTCACAAACAGAGTGTAGGTGCAGGGCAGCTGACAGGAGGAATGACCAAAGCCTGCTGGGAATTGGTGGCTGGAAAGAATGACAAATGTGGAGCTCGGCTTTAAAGAGGGTGATGCAATTGTTGATGGAGTGGTATATAAAAGACAGACAGAGAGGAAGTGAGAAGTGAGAGACAGAGAATGGATGGAGAAATGGTTCAAGTTCTCCCCAAGGATAACTGACATTGTGATAATAATAAAATATAGTGGTAAAGAGCGAATGTAACATGTAGTGAAATATATACTGACAGGAAAATTGTGCTAGTGGAGTTTGTAGGATCAGTGTGTGTGTGTGTGTGTGTGTGTGTGTGTGTGTGTGTGTGCTGTGTGTGTGTGGACGGCAGAGGCATGAGCACTGTCCCCCTCTCAAGTGTCTGTGGAGCACTTGTGTGCATGCGCATGGGGGTGGGGACCAAACCATCTTCCCAGGATTTTGCTGCGGGAGCACCATGTTGCCATGGAGACTGCATCCAGTGCAGCAGAACACACAGATGGCTGCTCTCTCTCTCTCTCTCTCTCTCTCTCTCTCCTCTCTCCTCTCTCTCTCTCTCTCTCTCTCTCCTGTATGTCCCAGTTAGCTTCTTATCCCTGAACTGCAAATCATAAAATCTCTGCAGGTTTAGAAAACCCTCCAGGTTATAGACAAGCTTTTGACTCAGCACACAGACAAACTATTTCTTGATGGACGAGAGAAGAGGCCTATTCATTACCTGCGTTTTCAAGAAACTGCATGAGAAAAACTGCACAAAGCTTAATCACCAAACATCATCTTAAAGTATATATTTAAAAAAAACTGTATGTCCACATGTCATTACATATCCAGGAGGTGGGAAAAAAAACTCACATTTCACTATTGGTGCACAGACAAATCAGCCCATGTGGAGTGGACATGGTCTGCATTTGAATGCACATTATGTGAATACTATTATAATGTGATGGCTGGAGCAGAGAATGCGATGTAAACAGACAGTGGTTTAATCAATAACTCTATACTGCACTGGTGGTCCTGTTGATCACTTTCCAAAGCACCAAGTTATCAGATTGACCTCCCAAATTCCAGGCAGACATGACTCATTTGAAATTTGAACAACTTGACAAAACATTCAGGACCAGGATTTGAGAGTTAGCTACATGTCATAATCTGTGTGGCCAGGAATTTAAAACTAGAAGAGAAACAGTGGCTTCCTGCATAATAAAAGAAGCTCTGCCCTACTTAAACATAAAGAAAAAAACAATTATATAGAGTATATATTGACAATGATCGTTTAGTTGCGTTAAAGAAGCCTGTATAGGTTAGCTGTCAAATTGAAATGAATGGGAAACAGTGGGGATCTGCACGGTATGGAATTAGTATAAAAATATCTAGTATTTTTGGGGAAAATGGCCAGCAGAAATGTGAAGTATATACAACTGGTATGGTCCTTTAAAGGTCCCAGTCTTCATGTTCAGACACATGAACTTAAGTTAATTTCTGTTCTTTAAGAGTACGGTAAAAACTTTTAAAGTCATGCCACTGCTCAGCTATGGTGACACTACAATTCCTGACCCAAAATCATCTCAAAAATCTTTCATTAGCTGCGTTACTTATGAGCGCAGGCTTTCATCTCACTGGTAGATTGTGTCTTAGATGGATTTTAAAATTGGGCTAAACCCAAGTGAATGTGGTCAGTTGGGTATTAGTTAGTCTGAGAATCAAGCAGCACTGGAGCTTTGGTTGCTGCAGCAGCGAGGTGTGTGGGGGAGGCTGTATGTGTTCTTATTCTGTTTCCTGACAGCAAGAGGAGGAATTGTGACATGTACAATCTCAGTCTTTCTTGTGTTGTCCAGCAACAAAACAAAATACACACTGACAGGCACACATGTTAGAAATCAAGACTGAGGCCCATGCTTCCACCTCACTGTCCAGATACCAAGAATATCTGCTGAATATTTCTGAATTAGAGAAAGGACATCTGGCTTTGCTGTGATAGAAACAGTGAAATAAAAACAACTGGATGGACATTGACTGCTTCCTATTGTACTGCATGTTCACCTATTGCACCAATCAACATGCCACAAACTGCTGCAGCAGGAGGGACAATAACGTCAACACTGAGCAACCCTACTTTAAGGTGACTGTGTTTTATGTTGCCTTACTGACAACAGACCTGCGAATTGTAGAAGTAAAGAATACCGCAACAGCCATAGAAGACGCTTGTTTTCAACTCGTGATGTCACATGATGCAACAACAGAGATTGCAAACAAAAAACACATATTTTTGTGTGTGTTCTGTTGTGTGCACTTACCCATCCATTTTCCTATGAATAGTCTGGTCACTAATGAAGGTTAGCAGGTGCTCTAGATTCTCCAGATGCTCCTCTTCTTTCCTTAAGAAGAGAACAGCTGGAATTAACAGACAGACTTGCCCAACCTACATCAGCTGAACTAGAAGCAAATTTAGCACATGTATTTATAACACACGCACGAGGCTTTTGGAAACGACGGTTTGTTTTGTTTTCATATTAGCACAGATTAATTGCAGCCAGTCCTTGCATCCTGTAGAGGGACCATGAACTTTAACAACTATGTCACATACATTCTTCTTTAATTTGCATGACTTTAGTGCAAATACCTTATTATTTACTTTACTACTTACATCTTGTAGAGGACCAGTTTTGTTGAGGGCCTTCATGGCTCTTTGCTGGGCGTAAAAGCAAGAAGTTCAGGCTGAATCAGAAACCAACTAAACTCTGTTCAATTGCGCCATCTAGTGACTGACTGAAGACAAAACCACCTGCAACACCTTCACGTATTAAAGGATGGAAATGGAGGGACGCGTAAACTTTCATACCGTGCTGGTGAAACGACAAAGCGCGGCTGTGATCTCATGTTTTGCTCTTCTTTAATGTGAAAATTAAGAGACACGTACTATCAATTAAAAATAAAAGCCAAATCAGGTAACAGCTACGAGAAACACAAGGAAAGGGTTGTTGTGAGTGAAAGCTTACGATCGACAAGACAAACATTTCGTAGATTTAAAACGACGCACGGGGACAGAAATAGCCACTACGATAAGTTCATGATCGGTTGTCCACACTTATGTCGTCACAGGACCTCGTGGCGCAACGGTAGCGCGTCTGACTCCAGATCAGAAGGTTGCGTGTTCAAATCACGTCGGGGTCAACTTCTTTGAAAACTTCATCAATAAATTTGATAGGTGCTGAGGAATGGTACATTTATTCTGCAATGCTGGAATATCAACTCTCTTCAGGATATAAGAACGTAACAGGCTTTTCTCTGCAGTGGTCTACTTGTACCTGTGTTCAGCCACGGGCACTCTGAATATCTTCGATTTTAAGTTTATAAGACCACTTGTGTAAATACATTTTTTTTTTTTTTACCTTTTCCTTAATACACAGACCACTCATTGTAATTTACAATTCCTATACATTTAATTATTCATTATAGGTGTCATCTCTCTGTGCTTCACCAGTACCAACTTAAGTTCAATTCAAAAGTGCAGCGAAATAAAAAACAACAACAAAAAAAACCACATTCAAATAAAAAAATAAACAAATCATTCAAAACTATTGAGCAGTCTTCTTTTTTCCATGGTTGGATATGAGGCATAAAAAGTGTCTTCAGTCACACGTTTCCCATCAGAAATTCATCACAGATGAGTGATAATGAATTCACATGCACTTCTGGAAACACATCATAGTGCATCACGAGTGGATTCTTCATGGTCTTCCGTTCCAACCTCAAATCTGATTACAACACACTTGTAAACAGTCTAATACCCATAGCTGCTATGGTGGATTAAGTTTGCAGCACAAGCAACTACACAGTGTGATCCTCTGTCACGTTACTAAAGAGCAGAGAATGTAATGTCAGCAGGACGCTGTCTGAACAACACTTTTCCCCACATAGACAGTTTGCTTTAGTGCTTAATGCCTCGGGCTTTCAATTTAAAAGTACATAGAAAAGCACAGATTAAAACATGTAAATATATCACTTAGAGCAATTCATAGCTGATCTGTTATCATGCATTCTTGAAACAATTGATTAATTAATTAATTAATCTACCTTTTTGGTCCAGCCGCCTCTTCCCACATTAAAGAATATCCAGGATTGTCAGTATACAGGCTTTGCTGTGTTCCTTTTCATCTGTTAGTCCTGTACAGTCAGTCCCTTTTTGTGTTTTCTCTGTCTCTTTAAGATACTGGCGTCCTCTGTCCTCTCACATGCTCTTCTCTGCTTAAATGCTCCCTCACAATACAACTTGCAAGTCTCCCTCTCTCTCTCTCACTCTCTCTCACTTGGTCCAAGTTTTCCCCCACCCCACCTCCTTTCTCTTCTCTATTCATGCCTGTTTCTCATCTTTCACTGGGACACACACACACACACACACACATACACACACACACACACACACAAACACACGAACACCTGCACTCTGAGCACCCAGTTGATGAGGGATAGCCCTGGTGAGAGTGCAACTTGGTGAGGACAGCAGGTCACCTCATGTCCTCAGGAGACGACTCACATGAGATGGTCCTCAGCAGCACTCAACATGATATAACAACGCCCTTATTGTACTCCGGAGCTCTCATTTGACATCAAACAGGTCAGTGACCGCTGATGTAGCGCTTTAAGTACCAGACTGTTGTGTGCAAGGCCTCTGCTTTGACCAACCACAAAGGAGAATTTGCATATTTATAGCTAAAGACTTCATTTTCATTGTCACATAGTAGCCCACTTTCTTTAAAAAAACAAAAAAACTGCCCATATATTTCCCAAATTCCCCCCTTTCATTCTATTCATCATGCCCCCTGATTTGAAATGCCAGGCGACTGCAAATGTCCCCATTGAGCTAGCGCCAGTGGGAGGGATGGATGTGGGAGGACAACAGAACAGTCAGAAAGGAGCCTGTATTGACCAGATTGTTCCAGAGAGTATTATTACACCGAGGGCTCAAATGAAATGGGTGTAAATAAAACCCTGTTGCCCAAGTGACTCAACTGAATGTCTCTTTCTGTCCAAAATCTCACTTACTGCTGAGCAGAGACACCAGGGTGGCACAGTGGTGGTGGACAGATCATTTGAAAGCCAAGGGGTGGGGTGGGGGGGGCCTGGAAATACCCAGTGTGGGTTCATCAACAACAATGTGTCCCATTCAAATGTAATGTAATTGAGTTTGCTACAAGTTTGAAATTTAAATGAATATACTGTACCTATGGTCTACAAATCTGGATGCATTTGTCTTTGTGAGCCTAAAAAGTTAAGAGCCCAACCTCTCTGCTACTTGAACTGCCGCCTTCCAGCCAGACTGACAGAGAGAAGAAATAATAGATGAAGTGAAAGGTAAGTACTGGAAACTGAGCAGGCATCACTAAGGAGACATCAGCACCACTAAGACTTGCAAGGATTTCAATGACAAGGGTGGATGGGGAGACATTTCAACCAGAAACGCTGTACATAACACTTAAATGTAATGGTATGGTAAGTGCATATTCCATATACAACTAAAGTAAAAAGGTAGAACGTCACCCTTTATTGCGCACAAAAAGACAAAAAAAGAAAGAAAAGATGCTACGATTTTTGAACGTGGCTTGACTTCCAAAAATCAAAGTCCTCACAGTTCAAAGCAAGTCCTCAGTTGCCTTGGTTCCACTGAAGGGTAAAACCATGACAGGGTGGGGGGTGGGGGGGACAAACAAATTTTAACAATCTAAAGCACAAAAACATGACAAAGCTTGGTTTCTGTCTCTGAATAAAATTTTAATCAAGTGTTAGATCCTCTGAAGTTTTGTTCTTCCACATCGCCAGGCTTACTTCTGCCTCCAATGCGTCTGAAGAAGGATATAAGCCCAGAGCTGCTCACTTGCCCTTCCACATGATTCCTCGCCTTAGAGCGATTCAATGGAAAGACTCCTGCAACTTCTTCTCTTGTATTTTCTGTCCTTGAGCCGGACGAGTATGACCTTTGAGACATGCTTCTCTGGAATATGTCCCCCAGGCGGAAACCAGATGCTGGAGATCGCCTTGTTTCATCCATGGAGATAGACCTGAGAATGGGAGCCTGCGACACAGCCCTCTGGTGGGGGCACTCGGGAAGAGACGCAGTACCCACGCATGGAGATGTTAGACTGTCCCGATTAGGAAGACAATTGCCTTCATCACTCTCCCACACTCCATCATCCAGGTCATCTCCACCGGAAGTTGAGGACAGTCTCTGTTGGTGTGCTTGTCTGTTTCGCTTAGGGATGTTTCTTTGAGAACAAGTAAAAGGGCTCAGGATAGTCCACGGGGAGCCCACGTCCCCATTGTTGGCAAAGAAGAAGTCTCTGGTCCTAGGCCGTGGGGTACTTGGAGTAGCCGGAGAGTCTTGCGGTCTCCCCGAGCGCCGCGGAGTGCCTGAAACTCTGTCCCCATCAAGGCTACTGTTGCTGTTTTGGTAGCGTAGCACCTTCCGAGTTATCGCACGCATCTTCTCAGCTTCCTCCTTGTTTTCCGGTGCTGCTACTTGCTCTTTCTGCAGTTTGGGTTGTTTCTTCTCAGGCCTCCTCTGTTTAGTAGAGGACGTAGTCTCAGTTTTTTCTGCTGACTGACCAGACCGAGGACTGCGGTCATTGGGGGATCCTTTGACTGGGGGCAGCAGGTTCCTCCTACATCTGACTAATCCCTCTGGAACGTTGGACAGAAAGCTGTGTAAGGCCAACTCCAAGCTGGCCGAGTCCCGACCAGGCTCAGGTACCGGGCCAGACATTGTGGAGCGTCGGTTTCCTGTAATACGGATGCTCTCCTTCCGCTTGCGCCTCTGCTCTGCAGCCTCTCGCTCTTGGTTCTCCTGCAGCCACGTAAAGGGAGGACGTATTCAAGTACACAGGGCAGACTTATAACCCCAGGAGGACAGGGGGACAAAGCTTGTTGAAATTCAAAACACTCAACATCATTTTTCCCCTGTGATGCACATGTAAATATTTCTTTCTAGTCTTACCTTTACAGCTGTATCAAACCGCTTGCAAAAAGAATGAAAGATAGAGCAGCACTCCTCCATTTTGAAGGTCGCCGGGTCTTCACAGAAGTACTCAGCAACAGCATTGCTCAGGCCATTCAGCTCCTGGAGAGAGGATTCCACGTCGGCCAGCTTGGCATCAGCCCTCTGACGATTTAAAACATAAAGAAAAGGGTAAAAAGAAGAATAAAAAGAAGAGGGATGCAAAGTGCACAAAGTTTTCACAAGCTCGGTTTGTGGGGGAACTTTACCATGAGGAACGTCTCCATCTGTTGCAAGAAGCCAGGCTGTCTACTGCTGTACAATTTCACTTCCTTGATCTTCTTCACCTCTCTCTCAAAGTCTGCGATTACCTCCTCTTTACAAATTCTGCGGTATGGAGCAACATTCACACATTGACGTGACGTGTTCCGAGGAATGCAAAAATTTGTACATTAAACCAATCAAATTCAGTTTTGGATACAGATACAATATTTTAATTTACTGTTAGTAAGTGAAACATGTTCAGTTAAATTACCAAATAGACTGTCAGTAAAATAAAGATAGCCACCTTGCTGCCATCCCGATGTGTTCAAGCTGGCTGGGAAAAGTCAGCAACTCAGAATCAATGTCCTCTGCTTGCTGTGGGTGGGAGAGACAGTCGGGTTCATAACTGATATATAGATATAGCATGATAGTATCATCACTTCACAAATATTTTCTTCAGTGAGCATCCTGTCCATCCCAGGGCTCCTCCTCACCTTGGCAACATAGTGCATGAGGTTCATGCCAGGCTTGTTGGCCTTGGTGTCTGCCAACTTGAGCAGAGACGTCATCCTGAAGCCGATGGCATTGGCACTGTAGCCACCCTGAATGATAAATTATTCATATATTTCAATTGTCAATTCATTAGTATAATAAATGAAATGAAAGCACAAAAGGGCAGCTTAAATGCATTAGTAATAGAAGCATGATTCTGAAAGAGAAATACCAACAGCGTTCATGTAATTCCCAGCTTTCAACACCAGCCGAATGACTGAGTGGAGTTCATCACAGTCCAACAGCTCTAAGAGGAGAGAGGAAAAAAGAGATGGAGACAAAGAACCTTAATATAAACATCAAATGGTATAAAACAGTCCCAGTTGGGATTGTTAGCACATTTTGGTGGAAGCGTGTGAGAGGTTACCATTAGCTGCTTTGGTCATGACGCCAACAGAGTTCTTCACCTCCTCCATAAGAGGAAAGAATTCCTCCCTCAGCACCATCGTTTTCAGGCGTTCCTCGTAGCTGAAGGAAAGACAACATAAGCAAAACTGCTACTTACTGTATTAGCTGTAGTCAGTTTATCAGTTTTATTACCCGTTATTAAACTTAGAGAGATCTGGATATGGCAACATTTTCTTTTTGTTTGCTTTTTGCTATATATGAAGTCTACGGCGCAAAAGTGGTAGCATTATAAAAATAATACAACATACTGCAAGATTTAAAAAATAATATTCTATATATTTCATCACTGTCAGTATCACAGAAGATAATGTGGTTTTTTTTGTGAGACTTTTACACATTTTAGTTGGCTATCACTGCACACATGGCTAACTAACATGCAATCAAATATTTTATAAATGTTTTTGTAATGTGTTTTTTTGAAAACTCCAAACTCACCCCGGCACTTTGACCAGCTGCACCATGAACTGGTCAGCCTCAGGTAACACAGACAGGTTCCCACTGAACGACAGCAGATGCTTCACCTTAACAGGAGTTTGATGAGTCCAATTCAAATTGTTTTGATGATATATATGAGATAACAAACTTTCAACTACAATATCTTTTTTCCTTCAAATGGAGGAATATGTAATATTACAGTAGTTCTTATTCCAAGACATGTACATATTCATTATGCTTATTTTACGCATAGAGGACCAAAGTGGAAAGATGAGCTGTTGTTACCTCACTTTCCTCTGGTAGCAGTTTACAAAGCTCTTTCAGTTTGCCTGTTCCAAATCTGAGCCAGTTCCCCTGACGAATGTCCTGTACCAGTTCTGTCACTGGCCTGCAGGGGGAGACAGAACACAACTCTAATAAAAGGGTACCATACCTCCATACTTCACAATCACCATCACTCATCCAACATCACAATAATTGTTTGATAAATTCCTCAAGGTGGTATATTCATGTGCACCTATAGGAGACGAGAGCGCTGAACACAAACAATGACCAAACATAGACGCCTTGAAAACATTAATGTTAATTTAGAAGCCAATTACAAGTTGTTGGTCGGCAGCCTACTTTCACATATTGGATCAACCTCTTCTGCCAAGGATAATATTATCATGCTAAGTTACAGATTCCAGCTCTAACAAAAAACGTTTAAATGAATTGAAATAATGAATGTGGTCGTTTATGCCATGGCATGCCTGTTGATATAGTCATTCAAACACGTCACACTTTACAGTGTCCAGCATGTGATTTCAAAACCATCATGGAATGCACTTTCGTCACTACCACACAGAAACTGACGCAATTTGTATTGGACTAAGTTGCTATAGCAGGTATTATTGCAGTACTTAGCTGCTCACACACATTCAGTGCATTTGATATTCAAAGTGACGGCTGAGTGAACTTTGGGCTGAGAGCGACATCATCTTGATAAGTTGCAGACACAGCGCCAGCATGTATCTCACAACTACCTGAACCTAAAAATATTTACACGTTTACACAATTTTGTGTAACTATACTTTATAATATTAGACGTCCAAAACAACTTCAATCTTCCCTTTCAACTCTCACTGGTCAGAACTATGTTTTCCTATAATTGAAGTGTTAATAAAGTGAGTCATAATTGTTCAAACAAACATGTTATCCCATATGTTGCTCCTAAATGCTGTCAAATGATGTTTAAAAAGGCATTTCCATGTATTTGAATATGAAACCACTGAGATAAAGAACCTGCCGGTTGGGTAATGATTAGCACAGTGGAAGTGGTTCATGCGTATATGATCTGTATTTCCAGCATCCACTGTGTTTGACATGAAAGCGCCTTTCTCTGACCGCTGCTTACTGTAGCTGCACCAATTGGAGTCAGCTTAGCTCTTGTTGTGCATCCTTTACTTCGTGTGTTGCTCTACGGCGTTCTTTCACTGAATCTCACTCATTATTTTAGTAATTTATTTTCAATATTTTTCTCTATTTTAGATTTTTTACTTCAGCTTTTACCTCAGCTTTTACCTTACCTCTTGAAATGTCTCAGGAAGATCCCGATATTCATACTCTTTTTAGAGTCAAGGATTGTGACCTGTGGAGAAAAAGGAACAAAATACATCACTAAAAAGATACCTCTGTACAGCCATATTCAGATGACACAAGTCCACACTCAACATTATAATTTACATCATTTTTGAGGAAGCAAAAACCCTCCCAGTTCCTCACTGACGATATAATGGGTGTGGAACTTTTAAAAATAACTTCCTATTTTCTGTGTTCATTACTTCCCTAGCACGTGGATTTTGTTTCAGTTTACTCATCCATAAAAACTTAGGAGCGTCTACATCAGTTTCTGGAAATCAGCCACTGTTATGGTTTCAAATATGACCCAAGTGCAGCCCAAGCTGTTTACCTGAGGCTCCTGTGGGAAGAGGTCCATGCCATCAAACTTGTTCAGACCCATGACCCTTGAATTGCGTATCGATGCCCGTTTGTCCACATGACTGAACAGCTCCTCCATGCTGCGAATGTCCAGCACCAGGTCCCTCTGAGGCCGCTTAGACGTCCAAACATTCAACTTGCCCAGGACACGCTGGCTGGGGATGGTGTCCCAGTTCAGCTTTTTCATGGATCGTCTCTGGACATCACGAGAGCCAAAAGAAGTGGTAGTGAGAGGAGGAGGAGGGGGAGGCGGAGGAGGAGGAGGAGGAGGACAGGGAGGAGGAGAGGTGGTGGCGGAGGTGGTGCAGCACCAAACATATGGAGGGAGTCACAGCAGAAGATGCTTGGAGATCTGAATCTCCTGAGCATCTCTCGGTGGCCGAGGGAGACGAGTCTTTGAAGAGGAACAGTTGGGGAAGAGATGCAGATTTTAAAAAATCAGCACTCCACTCCATCTGTATCTGTCAAATCCCAAGGATGATTGGATGAAAAGTATCCCCTGCTGCCGCCCTCAGAGATCTGAGGAGACACAAGAAGTATATAGCAGTGTAAAATGTGTAAACTATGTGTACACGCAACTGGTAGCATCCTTATAAAAGTCATCAGGAAAATCTGCTCCAAATGTAATGTTTTTTCATTGTTTCATAGGTACATATGAAATATTTTCTAGGTAAGCAAGATGCCACAGTTTTCTAAATATCAACATCACACGTAACAAAAATACCATAAAAGTGATATTAAATACAGCAAGTTAAACATTTAAAAGAAGAATTAAACTTGTAAGGTAGACACTATAGTTTGTGCCACTACTTTCTTTACTCAAAGAATAAGACATATCGTTGTTGTTTAAAAACCTTTCTACTTTTTCCTCTTTGAAAACACCAGTAGCCTAACATTTATTCCAGATAAATACAACACCCTTCTTGAAGTATTGATCTTCAGTTCATCATACGAAACCGCCATTGAGGAAATGTCACAAATTAATGCTCCCGTCTAAACAGCAAATGAAAATGCTTCACATAACTTCAATTTATACTTTATATTACTCATTAGAAGCCTAGTGGTTAAATTCCGGCATGGATGGCATCCACCAAGAAACATAATCACACATTAAACTTACTCTCTAATTTGTTTCTACACAGTTTTGCTGCCGTTTATTTTTCGTGGAGGGGGAAGCTGGAGAATAAACAGGCAAACCAAACTGCAATTAATTTGTGATTACATTGAAACACATTCTATTCGGTGGGATATTCATATGCGGAATATTAAAGTTGACACAAAAATCCGAAAATATACTCAAAGTTTTGTTCAAAACATGTCTGTCCTTTTTCCGACAAAACAAAGCATCATTGATTTGACGTTTTTCTGTTGAAGTTTTTGCTGTCAGTTACATTCACATCCTCGTTCGTGTTTCCTCCTTAACAATCATCCAGCAAACAAAATAAAGGGTTCGTAATAGAGTCTGGACTGTCACAACAGCAACGTAACGGAACTTATTTTACTCACCGTGCTTTTAAAATACAGCTGTCAATAAATCCTCACTCCGATCTCTCGCCTCGTGCTTCTGCAAGACTGCCTCAGTCAGTGTCTCACAAACAGCATCACAGGTGCAGGGCGCGTCTCCGCCAAATCAAATTCAAGTCTGTGGTACCTGGATGGAAAACGCCTTTTTATCGTGAGGTAAGAAAAAAAAAACATTGGTATTTCTGTTAATGTAAAAAAATTACAAACAGGCAGGTTTAACGGAGTAATAGTATTATATGAGGTATGTGCGAAATACAAAAAACTACCATGTCCTTTATTGCTATAGGATAAAGATAAAGGCAGAAGGAGCTATCATTTTTCACAGATGTTATACCATTTAAAAATTCAAATTCAATTGTTCAATTCAATTTTAACAGCAACAGGAACAGATGGACAGCAGTAAACACTGTTGATTGGTAATTGTAAATGTGAAAAAGCTTATACCCATAGGTTAATAGTGTTATCTGTATGTCGTTAATGGTTATGTGGGAACAATCATACCAATACCAAAGGATACTAGTGTTACCAATAGTACAATAATAGTAATGAATAATAATAATAATAATAATGAACACAACAGCACCCTGAAGAAACCCCCCCCCCCCCCCCCCCCCGCCATAAAAATGTGGTGGCAAATGTGTGGATTTTTTTTTTGTGTGTTTCATCAGACAGCATATTAAGAAATGTTAATAGCGTTGGAGGGGGGGGGGGATTCTTCCAGCCTGTCAACAATAATCAAACAGGAAGTTTTAATTTCATGGGAGAAGTTAGATAAATGAAGGTTGATCAAAGAACAGGTCTTAAATGGCAGTGGATGACTAATCACAACATTATAAAGTTTTTATTTGACTGAATCCAGGTGGCTGCCGCTGCTCTACTCCACGTGCAACAGAAAAGTTCACCAGTGAAAAAAATGAGTTGAAAAAGACAACAAACTAGGAAAATACAGCCAGGACCATTTGAAGATGTGTATTTTTGAATTTTTGTTCCATTGGGGGGGCACGGGTGGGACTTTCAGGTCTGAGCGATGGAATGAAAGGCAGAGAGTATCACATCATCCATGACACGACTTCATTGATCATCTTAATACCATTAGTGCATCATTCATACAGTACAATACACCAGCTTCAACCATAGAAAATATCGATTGTAACAAAATAAAATATCTCATTTATAAATCTTCATTTTGGTGTAAGGGGGGAGGAAGAATTTCAAAGGGGCAGGTTTGGAAAAGAGGAGTCACATTTTTTTGTTATATTGCTGTGGTGGCGGTCAAACAGACCAGGAGCTGGCCAGCGAAACTGCCAGTTTTTTGCTGTAAGTGAGGCCAAGGTCTTACCTACAGCTGTGGAATAAAATACACCCCAGTTGACACACACTGGACACAATAAAGAATCAGAAAAAAAAAAAAATCTTAAGATCCGTTTTTGATATTTTTGCTTCTCATCAAAAATCAAATCCACTTCCTTTCACGACTGTCCTCCGAGTGCAGGCATTAAAAAGTGAACCCTGAAGCACGGCGTTAAGGCCAGTCCATGCGAAGCTGGCAAGCAGATGGCCCAAGAGTAGAGCATGGTACACTCACAGATATCTGCTCCTATACTTTTGGATCGCTGTCTGCCATGCAAATAGAGAGGAGACGAGAGCTGGAGGCCTGACACATTAACTGATTGGAGGTTTCACAGAGCACTCCGTTCTGTTTCTAGATTAAATGCAGCATGGTAAACATCATTTACTGGATTATCTTCATTTGACTTCACAGCCGGTTCTTCCTATCAGTTAGTGTAGAATATTCTTTTCTTCTTCTGGAGTATATCAATTACAGATTTAGTTGGCCTGAGGCATATTTGTCATGTTAGTGTGTCACCTGTAAAAGTGCCTTAAAATGTCATAACTCATATAAAAATGAGTGATTTGCCACAACCCAGAAATCCAGTGACAACATGTTGAATTCCAAAGATTAACACATAACATGTATAATAAATACAGTGATGCATAAAAATTGCACATTCACATTTGTAGTACCATGTGGTTGCCAATACCCTCTCTTAATTGTCAACCATTCATGATGTTTAACTAACATTACACTAAGACAATGTTTTCAGTTACAGGAGATAAAAAAAAAAAAAAAATTTGTTTTCCAATCACCAACGACAAAAATCATGTTTGAAATATTACAAATTAGTAATATTAGACGGCTACACTTAATCTTCACGGTGAAGAAAAGTAACCATAGACAAATATTTCTGCTTCAGAGAGGACTGGAAGATATGACCCTAGACATTGCAGAGACAAACAAAAGTTTTATAAAAAAAAAAAAAAACAAACCATTTAATGTATCCATGTATCAATGTGAATTCCTTGTAAATACAGCCCGTTAGACAATGTAAATAATGGAGTGAATCCATTCAAGTTTTGTGGATTCTTAACAGACTGTAATAGGTCAGCTGTCCCTCAAAAGCTTCCTCAGTCCAGACTGAGCCAATCGGCGTTGCTTAAATAACCCATGAAACGTAGCAGGGTTCATCATCCAATTCATAATTCCAATCATCTCCATCTCTTTCAATTCTCTTTGGGTAAATAAAACAAGTTAAATCAGGTAACAATTCAAATCTGTAGCATTTCTCATAAACCTCAGACTAAAACACCAGCACACGTTGCCCTAACAACTATACTGTCTTTTCCACTCCGAGGCATGAGACATACAGCTGAGTAGAACTGATATAGTTAGAAAAAAACAAAAAACAAAGGACATGAGGTCAAATTAACCCAAACACTAAACTAAACACAGCATTGCGTTTTTTTTTTTATATTTAAGTAACAAAACAATTGTATAATTATTTCATTTTCAAAAGTGAAACAGTAACTTGAATTTGAAATGTACATTGATTGGAAATGTTGCACATTCCTTTCCAGTGTAGGCAAACAAATCCCCTTCATGTGTAGTTTGACTTTTTTTTTTTTCTTGCTTAATAGATCAATACATAGGAAGGCACACGAGGAAGGATAAAGGTTTGGAGGAGTTTTTTTGATGTAGTAGGTTTGGTTACATCTGATGTAATTTTAATGGGTTTTTACTATTTTTCTTTACTCATCTGTCTCTGTTGCTAAGATGGTGTGGGACTGAAGTTTAACCTCAGATCACTGGGAGCACTTGAGGAGTACGATAAATGGCCATATTAGAATGGACTAACACAAGCGCACACAGCAAAAGTAGTGTTGAGATAGAAGGGGGTTTAAGGTGAACTGGGGAGAGGGAAGGGGCAGATGAACAGTTTCTCTGGGACAAAGCAACAAGGAGAGGGTTCGAGTGGAAAAAAGAGGAAGTTGGAGAAAGAGGCACTAATAGCCCCTGGCTTGTTCATGAAACTGGCCACATCGTTTCTTGCTGGCATTCATCAATAATACCCTGCAATCCATCTGTCCGATCTTCCTTCATCTGTCCAATCATCCAGCCACACAGCTCATCTCATTTCTTCATCCACCCAATTATCTGTATGTGTTTTCCCTCTGTAGTGGTCCTCTGTAAGTTGGGGGTTTTCAACAGGTAACAGGTGGAGGTGGTCAAGAAGGAGGCTGCAGGAGATCCAGGCAAGGCCTCTCATTGCTTCCCTCTAACCAGGAGGGGGCTTGTCGGCCCCTGGAGGCGCTAACTTTATGTTGAACTGCTTCAGCGTTTGCTCCAGCTGCTGC